GTTCGAGACTAGCCTGAGCAAGAGTTGAGACCCCATCTCTACTAAAAATAGACAAATTAGCTGGGCGTTGTGGTGTGCGCCTATAGTCCCAGCTATTCCAGAGGCTGAGGCAAGTGAATTGCTTGAGCCCAAGAGTTTGAAATTACTGTGAGCTATGACACCATGGCATTCTACCTAGGGTGACAGAGACCGTCTCAAAAAAAAGAAAAAAAGAAAGACAATTCACAGTATGCTGTACTTTAAGTGCACAAAAATAAAAACATTGTATCTTATAAACCGCATGTCATAGCCTCACATCCCAAAGTTAGATGAGAGAACACTCATATTGGGTTTGCAAAGGAGTAGGCCCAAAACCTAATTAAAAAAAAAATTGTCTCTTTGGAAAAAGTTTATGAGAATATTGTGGAATTTTTTCTTTGTCCTCACTTTACTAGCACAAGAGTAACTCAACCTGGTCCCCTGTAAATTGCTGATACAGGATCCATGCTGGAAGTGGCTAAGTACCGATTCAAACAGAACAAGGAGAAACAGCTGCAGTCCGTTATTACCGTCCAGTACAGACTTTATCAGGATAAAGGATGTAAGGCTTATTCCTGTGGCCTAATAGAAAAGGTCTGGAGCCACCTTAAAAAGAGTACTATGTAATAGGACTGTCCATAGATGAGAACATAGTTTACAGGTTGGAGAAACTAACAGTTGGAAACTTGGGCTGCAAGCAAGTTGCAAGCAGCTGGCTTTTCAGCCCTTATAGCCAAGACTGCTACCCATCAGCTGATCACGAGGTGTGGCTAGCCACAGACTTCTAGCCAATGGAAAGTGAGAAAAAGTAATGAAGGTCACTTGCAGGTGGGGTCCACAGACACTGTCCACATGCGCTTCTCCTTACCTCCCATTCCTACTCCATGAAAAAAGTAGAAATATTTACTGATTATTGGTATTTACATTGAATACCTAATCAGAGCAGGGCTTTTTCTTCATATATCATCTTATTCCAACTTCTCTATTCTGAATGGTAACAAACACAACTGAATTAGATGGTAACTCCTAAGAGTTATGAATTTTAGAAAGAGCAACAGATGGCTGTCTTCTTCTGAACAGACGACAAAATGCTGAAGTCACGAAAGCTACTGTCTTCTTGCTGGGTGAAACAGAGGAGTTCTTGCATTTAATGATGGGGAGCCATCAATCCAGTTGTCCACAAAGTCTACAGCACATCCTAAGTTGGGAGCAATGGGGCCCAGAGTCTGCCTTTACTGAGTTAGTTTCCTTACAATGGAATTCCTTTCACCTTGAGGTTATGCTTCTTCAATGAGAAGAAAACCTCTGACTACAGTAAACTTGAAATGATCAGAAGCTACAGAATAGCAGTCTCTCTTCCTAGATCAGCAATGTTTTGATGTGATAATTCAAAACAGCATCAACAATAAACATGTTATAAAACTGAATGCAAAAGTCACATAATTTTTCTTTTTTTAGAGCCTCAAGCTGTCACCCTAGGTACAGTGCTGTGACATCACAGCTCACAGCAACCTCAAACTCCTGGGCTCAAGCAATTCTCCTGCCTCTATCTTCCAAGTAGCTGGAACTACAGGCACCCACCACAATGCCCGGTTATTTTTTGGTTGCAGCCACCATAGTTTGGTGGGCCCGGGCTGGATTCAAACCCTCCAGCTCAGGTGTACATGGCTGGTGTCCTAGTCCCTTGAGCCACAGGCGCCAAAACAAAAGTCAGGTAAATTTTTAAGGTTGAAGATTAGAATCCAAAGAAATCTCACTCTTCTTAAGAGAAGGAAAAGAGAAGGAGAAGCACCAACCTGTGGTAACTTAGGTTCTTTACACAGTAATCTGAAAGCGAAACTCACCAGTTGTGCTTTTTTTCCTTTATAGCCCCTATGAGATGTAAATTCCACCAAGAGAGGATATTTTACTCTTATCTATATCCTTTGTGGTAGGGCTGAATAATGGCCCCAAAGATACCTAGTTCCTAATTCCTGGAACCTGAGAATGTTTCATTATATGACACAAAGGGACTACAGATTAAATTTCTTGAGATGGAGAGATTATCCTGGATTATATGAGTGGGCCCTACATTTAACATCAAGTGACCTTAAGAGGGTGATCAGACTACAGAGAGATTATTATGAAAGCAGAGATTGGAGTGACATGTTTTGCGTTAAGAAGCCAGGAGCCAAGGAACACATGAGGCCACCAGAAGCCAAAACAGGCAAGAAAATGGATCTTCCTCTCAGCTTCCAGAAGGGAGGGTGGCGCCCATAGCTCAGTGGGTAGGGTGCCTGCCATATACACTGAGGTGTGTGGGTTCAAACCCAGCCTGGGCCAGCTAAAAGAATGACAACTACAACAAAAATAAAAATAGCTGGGTGTTGTGGTAGGCACCTGTAATCCTAGCTACTTGGAAGGCTGAGTTAAAAGAATCGCTTAAGTTCAAGAATTTGAGGTTGCTTCGAACTATGATGCCACAGCACTCTACAGAGGATGCTACAGTGAGACTGTCTTTAACAAAAAAAAAAAAAAGAAAAGAAAAGAAAAGAAGAAAGAAATGTAATTCTTTAGAAGTTGCAGCAAAAAGTCATGATTTTAGGTTTACACAAGATACAACTCAAAAACTGCATGGATTGGCTCGGCGCCTGTGGCTCAAGCGGCTAAGGCGCCAGCCACATACACTTAAGGTGGCGGGTTCAAATCCCCAGCCCGGGCCCGCCAAACAACAATAATGGCTGCAACCAAAAAATGGCCAGGCGTTGTGGCGCTGCTTGGGAGGCTGAGGCAGGAGACTCGCTTGAGCCCAGGAGTTGGAGGTTGCTGTGAGCATGATGCCATGGCACTCTACCCAGGGGGATAGCTTGAGGCTCTGTCTCAAAACAAACAAACAAACAAACAAAAAAAACCTGCATGGATCATGATATAATGTGAGAGAAAGGAACTCTGAAAAGCAGTTGTGTAGGTTGATTTACTTTTCCTTTACTTACACCAGTGTAAGGAAATACAAACCAGTCAAGTAACGCTTCTGCACCCACATGGAATGCTGTCCTGAACGGTGGCATGCAGTCCACACAGGCGTACAAGATACTTCACACTATGGTACACAGCTGCATACTAACCACTGTTTTATCCTGCACAGTAGGTTCAAATGACAGTGTAGATTCCACAAGAAAAAGTTTCAAAAGTCACGTGTAGTTTACATCACTTATAATTTATATCCATTATCGTTGATCCCCATGACTCTAGT